GTGGGGGGGGGGGGAGAAGTCTGTACTTTCACGAAATCTAAAAACATATATCAAACATGAGTTGTTAACGGAATGGAAATTGCATAAATGCAAAATTTCCGAAAATATTGTGTTTTTTTTTATTAATTTAGCAGCGAGTCCAAAAATGGTTTAACATTCCTAGGTTAGCAGCGAGTCCAAGAATGTGTTTTATTCTTAGGTTAGGAGTGATTCCAATAATGTTAAGTTCTAGTTTGTGAGTGAGTTTATATGTTTTTATATATTAGGTGAGCAGCGAGTCCAATAATGATGTTGGTGGAAATTGGACGGATGGGGTGGAAATGATCCCTTGGAGACGGTAGGACATTTTTTGTTCAGTTCACATGTTTTTTGCCTGACTTGAATTTTCGTGTTTTATGGATCCCACTGTATGCTTCATATATCTTTCCTGCCCTTCCTTTGATCTGTTTTTTGGAACGTTATCTTATCTTTATTTTCTTTCTTAAAGGGACTGTAAGCCTAATTTCAAGTAACCCTCTATGCATAGATGGTTATGCTCGATTCAAAACTGTACCCTTGGAAACCTGCTGAACAAAGATGATAGATTCTGATAAATCCCGAATGTTTTCTTGCAGTAGAAAATTTGTAGAAAACCTACAATTGAGAATTTATTTTCTCAAATTTTAGCAAAACATCTCATTTAAGGGTACCTTAGTGAAGCGGTCATTGCCATCTTTGCATGGAGAGTCACTATATTATGTTTAAAATCTTTCAAACATCTGCTTTTTATCCTCCGTAAAACTACCACTTCATATCAGTCAATATCCTCTTTTAGAACAAATTAAAAAATGTTGATTCTTTTTTCTTCATTGAAAATTGTCTCTCACGGTTCCCCTCTACCCTTCTTTTTTCATTCTCGTGTTTTTCAGAAAATATTTTTTCTATTAGAGATACATATACATACATTTGATTTTTGCTTTATCTGTAATTTTAATAATACCCTTCCTTAACTTGAGAAAGGAAATAATAAACCGCTGGTATTTTGATGTTTTATTAATCAAATTTTGGGAATTTTCTATTTTAAACTTTTTGAATCGTCAACTTTTGTTCAAAAATGGGATTAATGTCGACACCACCCTTAGCTTCCCTAGCAACGTATTTTGACAGGTGGCTCAGCTTTAAATCCCCTAAACCCCCCCCCTCTCAACCCCTAAACCTTTACCCTGGTAACAGTGAAGGACCGATTTAAACCCATAATAAAATCAAAGAAAATGTACTTTTGAACAACGTACTTTTTTGTTGCCAAAATCGCAGACTTATTAGCAAAGAAGTTTGAGCCCTTTCTTCCCTCCCCCTACTTTGAAATATTTGAGAGGAAGAATTATCCCTGCTTTCACCCTTTGTAACCTGCACGTGTAGAGTTTCACCCCTCTTTATTTTCCAGCCCCCTCCCCCTCCCCATGGACTGCTAGTTATTTTTTTCCAAGAGAGAAAAAAATATTTGCAAATTAAATCATTTCGCAAATTATTCGAATGGTTAATACTTTTCCAGAAACCTTACCCCTGATTCCTTTTTGTAACTCTTCTCTTTGCGATAAATAGATTTTTAAACCTTAATATTATTTTCTCAATTTACGGGACGGGGAGGTTTTTACTGCAGCGTTGCTAACTCCCAAAATTAAAAATTCCCAAAATCGACTTCATTTCCCAATATTTATGAAATACTGAAAACATTGTGAAAGAGCGCTTTTTGTGGATTTCAACTTGTAAAAAAACCTTAAATATGCTTTTCAATATTTAAAAAGCCCTATTTTGGGAAATATTTCCTTGACAATGATTGATCTATTTATATAACAAATACATTTTTGTCGAAAAATAATTTATAAAAAGAATTGTTATTAATTTCAGTCAATTTCATTGTTTTTCAGTGCAATTTACAAAATGTATCTTAACAGTTTTTAGGTCCCAAGAAATATCCCAATTTTCATTAAATTCTTCGGGGAATTCCCTCTTTCCCAAAAGGGTATAAGTTCCCCAGATTTCCAAAAAAATGGGGAAAAATTCCCCCGGTTTGCAATGCTGGTCTTTAGCCTCGTGGAGGTACACGTGACTTTTTCGGCATGCGCACGCATCCACTCGGGGAAAAACAGGGATGGACAATTATTTTTAAAATTATTTTGATAACATTTTTGCCTTTTTAAGTTGTTCGATCAAAAGATTGTTTTATACCTCCCCCTGATTTGTTAGCGTTTACCCCTGCTGTGAGGCCCCTGGTAAAGTGCCGGGTTGAGCCGGGGTTCTCTGCGCATGTATATTAAGCCTGGCCACCTAGTCGATATCCCACACTCCTCCTAAATTCTTTCTACACACAACATCAGATTTATTTTCCACTTACAGAAATTATCTGTTTTGATTTTTATATTTGAATATTTCTTCAGGATTGTTGTGTTTCGAGCCGAGAAATTAGACGGTTTGATAAGATCTGTTCGTGAAAGCTTTCCAACATCCAGTATTTCTTCATAGGACTTTCACTCATTCTTTTAGCAGTACACACACTGTTCAGTGTACTGCCTTATATATATTCTGTACAAGAACACACTGTGTATCAAATTATATTATATTTTGTTTTCAGAATCGACAACTCTATTATGTCTAAACTGTTTGTTTATGGAGTGGACCAGTCCATGTCGAACTCGGAGATTCAGGTATTTTTATCCGTTGGACATTTTGAGTGCATCGTGGTATATATGAATTCTTATCTCCACGCGTTCCTTCTCTTTGTTTGTACTTTCTCCTTGCTTTCTCTTGCACTACTACCGCCCACGTGTGAAAGCGGTGAAAATTTTAAATATAAAAAATTTTGATATTTTTTAAATCTTATTTTACAACTTTTATGGAATCAACATAATGAACAGTAATGTCAAGAAAGTTTAGTAATTTGATAACAAGAAATTGTTCTCAACACTTTTAAGGTAACTATATATGAGAGTTTCTTCTTATAGGCGAAATAAGAAGTTTCTCGACTGAATTTTATTAATATATTTCTTAGACCGAGTTTGAGAGATTTGGTATGGTGACTGATGTTTATAACAGTGGGAAAGGATTTGCTTTTGTCACCTTTGATCGTAAGGAGGACGCCGACACAGCAACACAGGTTAGTCATCTATTTCATTATGTTGTCGTCATTGTTAGAGTTGGTTTTTTGAATTGTATTAAATGGAAGTTTGATTAGAAATGTTATACGAATTCGCAAACTATTAAAAATATTGTAAAGTTAACTTGTTGATTAATTATTATCAGTTATCAGAAAGGAAACCTTGTTAAAGAATATCAGTAGGCGTTGAATTTATTATCTCGGAGCTGAGCACAACCTTAGTTATATACAATTTCAGGTTTTAATACATTTGAATTAAAACTGCCGAGGTGGCGGGTACAACACTGCTAGTAGTGCTGAGGGCTGGCTGGGCGTGTACTTGGTATCAAACCCCACGGTAAAATAAAAAATCTGACTCAACGAAATTGTTGGATATTGTTGGCTCTGGCGGATATTTTTTGGTGGTTCTTTTCTTCGTCCGCCAGACTCTTTATCGAATAGCAATGAAGTCGGACTTTGATCTATTCCGTACTTTTTAGTATAAACATGTTCTATACAGGAGTTGGACGGACAGAGTCTGAATGGACAACAGATAAAAGTTAGCGAGGCCAGACCTAAAGGAGAGGGAGGAAGGTAGGCGTTTCATACTAATTTTGTTAATCTGAACAAATGATATTAAGTTTAAAAGAGATTGTCATTTCAAATAAGTTGAATATCATATTTCATCGTTTAATTATTACATTTCAGTGGTTTTATTTATATATATATATAACGTTTTTCAGGGGCGGTGGAGACCGAGGCCGTGGAGGTGGTCGTGGACGTGGCGGATATGGTGGCGGACGAGGAGGTGGAGGATACGGTGGTGGCGGATATGGCGGACAGCAGGGTGGTTATGGAGGTGGCGGATATGGAGGTGGCCAACAGGGAGGTTATGGCGGCGGTGGCGGATATGGAGGTGGCCAACAGGGAGGATATGGGGGTGGTGGATATGGAGGAGGCCAGCAACAGGGTGGTTATGGAGGTGGTGGCGGATATGGAGGATATTAACTCCTTGCATACTCAGATTACCTGTAAAGTCTATATAAAATCTATATGAAAATTTTCTGGTGTAGCCATTTTGTGTTACGGCTTTTTCTGTATTATCTGTACATTCGTCTTTACCTTGATGGATCTCTTTCATAGCATTTAACTGCTTTCAGATGAGCATAGTCTAATTGCTTTAACTATCAGTCTATCTATCAAGAGAGAGAATCCACGAATACTAGAGACAGGATGTCTAAACTTTTCGTCTACGGGATTGATCAATCCGCCTCCAACCATGAGATCCAGGTTAGCATATTTCAAATATGAAAATTTCAATTTTTCCGGATTTTCACTTAAATGTTTCTTATTTTTAACGCTTTTATTAATCTCAGGGTGAATTTGAGAAATTCGGAATGGTGAGCGATGTTTACAACACCGGAAAAGGATACGCCTTTGTCACCTTCGACAGGAAGGAGGATGCTGACACCGCAATGGATGCCATGGACGGACAGACCATTCTTGGACAGCAGATCAAGGTAAAAATACTGTTCAGTTGTGTCATGGTCGAGGGTTATTTGTCTGAAATTGTAGTGTCATTTATTGGGATTTATCTGTCATTTAAATGGGTTGATCTGTTATATTAAGTTAAAATAAAAACTGGAAATTTTGTCATTACTGTTAAATCTAGGTGAATGAGGCTAAACCCCGCGAGGATGGTGGCGGTGGTGGTGGCCGTGGAGGTGGACGTGGCCGTGGAGGCGGTGGATATGGCGGTGGCAGAGACGGAGGTGGATATGGCGGTGGCCGTGGAGGAGGCGGATATGGCGGTGGCCGAGACGGAGGTGGTGGATATGGCGGTGGACGCAGTTATGGAGGCGGAGGTGGTTATGGAGGCGGACGTGGAGGTGTGAAACTAAGATTTCCCTCTCCCTCCTCCTCTACATCATCGTCTTCTCTCATGTCTGTCTCTGTCTTAAAATTAAATTGTCTGTTGAACTCAGACTCCTCTCTTGGTTTCTGATGTTCTAAAACCTTATTCTTTGTCCTGGGAATTCAAGGATTTTTAAACATTTTCTCATATTAAGCTTTCGGTCCAATTTACCTGTTCAAGGTTTGGATGAATTTTAGTAATTGTCTCTTATCTGACCTATTGGATTGGTAGTTTAATTATGGATTTATGTTTAAAGATTTTGCCCCACTTTCATCTTCCTACAAACCGACTCTACCCTACGTTAACAAACTGGTAACAGAAACCCACTAGACAAGATCAAACATACTTTTATAACATAGAATTTAGAGCTTAAAATTTAGAACTTTCTTTAATATTTTTTTAATTAGGTGGTGGCGGTGGATACTCCGGCGGTGGGGGAGGATATGGCGGTGGACGTGGAGGAGGCGGTGGATATGGAGGTGGCGGACGTAGCGGTGGTGGTGGCGGATACAACGACGGATATTAATTTATCCTTCAATTATTTGATTTTATGTTGTAAATGACAATGACGCTACGATGTATGTAAATCTTTGCGCAGTGTTACTGTGTGTAATTCTCTACTTTCTACGTATTCATTGTCGTTCAACTTCAAGATACTACATGGAACTTATCAAGCCTAAACTTTTGGATTTTGCCTCTTAATTAATCATTACCTTTTTCTTCGATAATTGTGATGAAACCTGTCTCTCGATTCGTGGATTCTCTCTCTGATAAAGATAAAGTTCTTGTAACGGAAACTTTTTGTAACTGTAACGAAACTTGGACTTTTTGGAACGAACTATGGTCTTAGTAACGAAACTTGTTTGGAACGAAACTAAAATCCAGAAATTCTCACTTCATGATCCGTATCTTGTTCAATTCTGATCTCATATATTGAAATATTCGTTTCTTGGTATACCTAAAGTTCGCCCATCTATCACTCTTGTTAGAAACGCGTATTTCTGTATATCTGTGACGTGTAAAAGCATTTTATCGTTAACACTGAGATTACCGAAGCTGGCGCCATTGAAAATTTTTGAATAAATATTTTAACCTGAATTTTGTCATTTGTCGGAATAATTTCAGATGATTTCTGAAGAAATAATGCAGGGAGAGGAAAAGTTTGAAGTGCCTAGAAAAAAGGCGAGCAAAAGAAAGATGGAAGTTGATAACGTACGTTAGTATTATGAGTCAATATTTTGTTAGTTTTACTAAAAATTGCCTAGCTGGATGGGATCATTAAACTTGAGCTTAGTTATGTCTACTAGATAAGTTTGGATTTAAAATGTTCTTAATGTACTGTAAAAATTAATTACAATGTCTGTCTGCAAAGTTATTAACGGAACAGAGATGGAATTTGAGCCGCGGTTTAAATCCGCCAAACCCGGGGTTAAGTTAAGCGCCGGTTTAAATCTTGGAACATTTGATGCTATTTTAAGAGGAACCAACCATATTTAAACCGCCGCTCAAATTCTTTAAATTCGGCCACTAATCTAGATATCTTGTCCATTCAAAGGAAATTCTTTAACAAACTAAATTAATTTTAAGGTCGGCTGTTAGATTGATGAATTATTTTAAATGGACTGCTTAAATATAATGGTTTTATAAGATCTGAGCTGGGAGCTTGTGAATAGTGGATATTGGGATTAATGTTTGATCCATTTTTTCTTATTCTGAAGTTTGCAGCTCAAAGCTGATTTAATTCGTCTCAGAGCGTGAAACTTGGTCAGTTGATTGTCATACTTGAGAAAGATTTAATAAGAATTGTGAATTGGACATGTTTATACTGTAAAATGGTCATTGAATCTCGTAAGATCAGAGAATTTTAAAAATCAGTTTTTTTAAATAGAAAAAGTAGTATCTGAACTCGAGTGGTCATCAAGATAAGTGTGGATTGGAATATTTAATGCATCATGTCTTAATTTTGTTAATTATCTTCTGGGTTTTCTATTTTTTACAATAAGTTGTGTAATAATTAGCTAACAATTGTTGCTTAATTTTTTTTTTGAAATTACCGAAAGTGTGATGCACACATGTTTTAATATACTAACTGTTTCTTTAATAATCTATTGAAAAAATCTGAATGCCATCTCTATTTTCCTCGTTCAAAATCTGGTTTAAGAAGGCTGAAGTCGATTTTTTCTTTAATGAATCTGGTGTTCATTGTTGTGACATATTTCGAAATGTGCAATCTGTAATCCTGACTATATGCTAACCGGGGTGAAGATTGATCAAACTCGCATGAAGGACATTGTTTCAATTATTGGGGTAGGAACAGGATTAATATTTTACAGAATAATGAAATGTAAGAGCAGATTAAATATTTAACTAATGGTGAATGACAACATTATCTCATTAAAATATCAATGAAGTGTTTAAATTTTTACATTTTTCACGTATTTGTGATGCAATTTTTATTGTCAAAAATTGTCTGCTGAATTAAACCAGATTTTAAAAGATTTTTAAGAGCTGTTATAAAAACGTAAAAAATCGTCCAGTTTGCGCTTCGTTGAAGCTATTCATCGCTAAATAAGAAAATACAAGTGTTTCCTAATTAATGTAAATTTAGAAAAATCGGTATTAGTTTCTCAACATTCAATCTGATTTCTTACTTCAAAGAATAGGATAAATCTGATATGTTTAAATAATTGGGAATATTACAGATGGAGTTTTTGGTAATTAGGAAGAATAATTATCTAAAACACTTCCCGTCAAGCGCTACTGCTTATTTATGTATCCTGGGACCGAATTTAATTAATTGATTTGAGCTACGTCGCTGAACTACCATCTGTCAGTTCAGATTTTAACAACCGATTCAAAGTAAAAGATTTAGGAAGGATTTAAATCGGTTACTCCAATTTGAAACGGCGGTCGGCAGTTCAAATTGATCGTATTCGGTCCCTGCATGTTAACTTTTATCTCCCTAAGGATAACCTTATTTTCCTCAAAGTTAAAACTTCCCCGAAATGTTTAACTTAACATGATATGAAATTTTGTTTTCTAATCCAAAATTGAATAGTGAGAAGCTTAGCCTAAAAATTGCTTTGTCTGAACTGAAAATAGAACAGTGATTGATTGATTGCTGTAATAATTGGGTTCACCTACATAGGGCCAAATGACCCAGGGGTTGAACATTACAGGGTCAAACGACAAACAGTAATAAACTCGACAAAGGGTAAAACGACAGAGGGTCAAAATGAAAAAAAGTATTCATGTATTATTTTAGGGTTAGGTTAGGATAAGACAATTTCTGGACTGAGCGCTGCAGCTAGGACAAACTAGGGGCCGAGCGCTGTGGCCACTAGTTCTAATGAACATAAAAATAGTTTGAAATTTATCAGACAAAGAAGAAATGAAATTTTGCCCGTTTGTTGCACTTTTTTGACCTCGTATCATTTTGATTTTACCCTTAACTTTGTCGCGTTATTGACGGTTTGCCGGTGGACCCTAGGTCGTTTGACCCTATGGCATTTGACCATAGGTCGTTTTACCCTAGGTCGGTGAATCAATAATTGAAATAATTGATGTATCAACCTATCCAGGAGGACCCTGTAGCTGGTGGTGAAGCGGAGGATGGAGATGTTGATCTTAGTATACTTCAACCTGCCTTCCCGCCGCTAAAGAAGGAGAAACTCGCCGACGGCACTGAGGTAAATAAATTCGGCGATTAGGAAACTAGAATCGTTAATTAAGATTTTAAATGCAAAAATCGACTTAAGTTTATATCACCTAATCCTTTTACCTTATTTTTACCACAAAACCCAAATCTTCTCTCATTTATTTGTTATACTTTCTATTTGATTTTATGTTTCAAAATGTTAAATTTTAATTTTTTGATTTCTACCATTTTCTATACTTTTTAACTCACAGTTTGATTATTTTTTTTTAATATTTTTAAAAAAATTTCGCCAATAAGATGTTTGAAGAAGTTAATCTCGAACTTTTAATTGATATTAATTTAAAATGAAATTTTTGTAAAATTCGCCTTTAATCTCGACAAAGAAATCTTTGAAGTTAAATTTTAATGTTTTCGGTTTTTCGCCGATTTTTAATCAAGGGTCAACGGAATTCTATAATTATAGGGTTAATCATCTAATAACCACCAGTGCTTAGGATAAAAATTTTCACGAACTGGATCGATCCCGATTTGAATACAGATTCATTTTTTTTTCAGGGCGGATCCAGGATCCTAATCCGGATCCACATTTATATGAAATGTATCCGTAGCACTCCTGTTAAATTTTATAAATGTTAAGGTTCGAAAGGTCCCAGTCCCCCAGCACAGATATTCACCCCTCAAGGAAAACTGGATGAAGCTGTTTGAACCTATCGTGGAACATCTTAAACTTCAGGTAAAAAATTCGTTTAGTGACTAATTTTATTATTATTGCGAGTTTTCCCGAGAAGATTATGAACTTTGAATAAATTCTGAATCGGAAAGAATTCTTTCAATTTTTTTCACTAAATATAACGTGGAAATTTTGATTTCCCTTAAAAATTTGGAAATGCCAGTTAAATAAGAAATATTGGGCAAACTTCCTGGGACATCTTTCTTCTTATTTAACACATTGGAAATATGCATATCAAAGGAACTAATAGACGTAATAAATAAATATTTTTTGGTTTGCAGGTCCGATTTAATCTGAAGAGCAAGAATGTAGAAATCAGAACCTGCAAGGTAACTCTCATTAATAATTTTATAACTTTTAATCTACAGAATGAAAAAAATAGAAGTCCATCTTCTTATTTTGAATTTCAGTCCTTTTTTTTGAAATTTCAACAACAATTTTTTTTGCTTCAGGATACGACGGATATTCAGAATTTACAGAAAGCTGCAGATTTTGTGCGCGCTTTCGTGCTCGGCTTTGAGGTTGAGGACGCCCTTGCGCTCGTCCGTCTCGACGATTTGTTCATTGACTCATTTGTTGTTCAGGTGAATTTTTACGTATTTCCGTTTAATTTATATGCTTTTTGCGCGTACGAATAATGCATTTGTGGATGAATACTTAAAAGGCCTATAACCGTAATTTTAAGTGACCCTCTATGTAAAGATGGCAATGCCCAATTCACAACGGTACCCTGGAAATCGTTGTCCTGAACTAATATGAATTAGATATCATTGTAAATAAAGAGAATTATCAAACGTGGTTTATCTGCAAAAGTGACGTATAGGTTTGAAAGGTAACGTTGTGAATCGGGCATTGCCATCTTTTCATGGAGGGTAACTTGAAAATACGCTTACAGTGCCTTTGAAATTGTTTTATCTAGTTAAAATGTCTGGCTTGACATTTTTGAGCGGAGAGTGCAGTATTGTAGAGAAATTTTTTAGAAATTGTTTGAGACTTAAAATATATTTGTACGGTGTATAATATCTAAGTAAGAGCGCAAAATCGATCTTAAAAATTCTCCCCCCCCCCCCTTCCCAAGGTATGATCACTGTTTAACCAGACACTCCTTTTTAAGAACTTACATTTTACTTTTTTATCTAAATCTGATTTATCTGTTAGGATGTGAAGACACTGAAGGGTGACCATCTTGCCCGAGCTATAGGTCGAGTAGCTGGTAAAGGAGGTAGAACTAAGTATACAGTTGAGAATGTGACCAAAACTAGGATTGTTCTCGCAGATGCTAAAATACATATTTTAGGTAATTATGGTGCATCATTGGGGGGTTGGTTGGCTGGCAGGCTGGCTGGCCGGATGGGTGGGTTGATAAGTGGATTTTTATAATTTTCAGAACATTTTTGTTCCAAAAATTCAATACACTTCATTTTTCTATTGAAAATTTATCTGAAGATAACATTTTTAATTGAAATGATAAAAATGTATTTTTTAGGTTCTTATCAAAATATTGCAATTGCTCGACGTGCCATCTGTAATCTAATTCTCGGGAGTCCTCCCAGTAAGGTGGGAACTAAATATTGATTGATTGATAGTAATCATGTAACTTCTTCTTCATTTCAAACCAATTAGTACAAATGAATAAAATTTAGAACAGTTGGAAAAATGTTAATTCAACTAATGCTTAAATCTTGCCTTTTTTATCTTAATTGTCCCAAAATTTATTAAGAATATTTGACCCAATCCTCTGGTTGAAAAAGTTAGTCCATTTGAATACATGAAAAGTTTATTAAAACAAATTCTAGGTAGAAAAAGCTCATTTGAGCTAACGTTAAATAGCAGTTAAATATACACAAAAAACAGTCAATTTGTCATAAATTTTGAGGAAACGCAAAGTTAACCTTTTACATAGATTAATTGCATAATAAACTTTTAATGGACTACAAAGCAGTTTGTGATCAGATGACTTCAGTTAAATTGAACGTTAGATTACTCGGCCTTTAGTTCTGTCGAACGACGAAATAGCATCTTATTCACAATTCATTTTTTAGGTTTATGGAACTCTGAGAACAGTTGCTGCAAGATCGGCGGAGAGGTTTTAACCACCCTCCGCCCCCCCTCAACCTTCCGCTCAGAAGTGAATAAAGTCGAATAAATTTTTTATATTTTTTGAGACATTTTTTAAAAGTTTCAGATAGCATGGCACCGTTTAAGACGCACAGTGTGCGATTCTATGAGTTAGAACCTTTAGCTATTCAGTGCATGTCGCTTAAGTAAGTATTTGTTAATCCTAAAAAATAGTAGTTGATATTCTAAGAATAAGTATTCTTGAGAAAGAATTGTTATGCCGCTTTTTGTTTGAAATTTATTCTAAATTAAGTATAAGACAGCCCCCCCCCCCAAAAAAAAAATTTGATCCTATTTTTCCCTTAAAAGTTTAACATGAAGGTCATGATTAAGGATTAGGGGTTTTCTTCATTTTGAACGATATGTTTTTTTTTGACGAGTATCCATGTGAAAAGTATCTAAATGAATTTTTATGAGTTTCTAGAAACCTAAATTGTACAAGGTTACCCACGAAGGATGAGAATGTAAAGACGACCTGATACTCGTTAAATATGTCGATTCCTTGTCCTAGCTTAAATTAAGAATTCGCCTTACATATAAATAATCTTTTAATGATTTATTTAATGCTTTTGCAAAGACAGAAACAAGTTATAGTTGCAGGAAATCGTTAGTAAATAGATCAATTAATAATAAACAGAGAATAAATTCCGAACAGTCGTCTCTTAAAGTCTCATTCTTTGTGGCATGTGCTTAGGATCCAGATCCGTTTGATGCCAAGATGTTGGCTTCCTGGATCCGCAAAAATATGCGGATCCATGGATTCGGATTCAAGTGGCAAAAATTGAAAAAATCGACAAAATAAAATGCAAAAAAATCTTTATAACTCCAAACCAAAATCTGAACTATTGAAAAAAGTGAGAATATTAAAATTTTTAAGTTTTAGCTTGAAAATAAGTGAAAAATAAGAAGAAAAATAATTTGAAAATTCTGCTTTGTAAAAAAAATTGGTAAACCTTAAAGAAATGTGCATAACCTGGATTCCATTTTTTTCCATCAAAATTAAATGGATCCTAAGCACTGCTTTGTGAGTAACCCTGTACTCTTTTTAAACAGAAAGAAATATCTTGTTGGAATAGTTCTGCATAGTGCACACCGTTTGTTTGAGAGAAGATTTATCCTTATTGTTGTCTAGATTATCGTCTAAGGTTTCAGGTTGGAATACAATTTTTTAAATTGCTAAACTTCAGTATTTACGAAATCTAGTCTACATACCTTGCTAAATTCTAGGTCGCCTGAGAATTGGTCAATAAAATAAATAGGGGTCAATATTTTTATTTTTTTAAGTAATAATTATGGTGATGCTAAGGAAATGTTTGAAATAAAGTTATTTAAAAAAAATCGACATTTATATTTTTTAAATTACATTTTCCCAAAAAATTCCAAGGGTTAACATAAATTTACTTATTTAGAGGAAACTGACCATAGGGTATTCCGACCAAACCTTGTATTAATTATAAAATAAGTTTAGTTACATTGAGCTGGGTAGGTTGAGTTAGATGGGTGTTTTAAGGTTTAGAAAGATAAGTCTATTTAAATCCACAAAAACGCGGGAGGAGTGAAAACCATTTAATGTTTTCTTAAAAACTGATCAACTGAAATAGCTCGGATACTCTGTAGGTTTCAGTTTTTTTAACATAAAAATAAGATGAAAACTTTTCTCCGTAAATCTTCAAAGATATTTCATTTCACTTAAATATAACTTAACAATTTGAGGAAATTGAATCCTTCAAAGTTTTAGAAAATTTGAAATAACATTTTTCGTCCCCCACATTTTATATGAATTAACGTATAGGTTTTATATTTGTTTAAAAATAATTCCCCCCTCCCCCCCTCTCAGTAGATTATCTTAGAAATGCTTGCGCAGAGTTTTAATTTGGTTTTCATTTATTATGTGATTTTTTCGATTCACAACAATACCTTGAGTTTTGATCTTCCTCACTGCCGTTCAGATTAAGTTACAACGAGTATTGTTGTGAAACAGGCTTCGTTCTGGCTTTATATATGTTAATTTAAAATTTTTCATAAGCTAAAAATAAATAAAGTAAATTCAAATTAAACGATTTTTAAAAAATTTAAAAGAAAATAACCCCCTTTTGAAACTGCTAAACCTTCCTTCCAAGTTGACAATTGTTTTCCTCCTGATGTGTATACTGCATAGTGCGTAGTATGTTTGAGAGATATTTATTGTTAAACCGCCGGGGTTATTGTTTGATATCGTCTAGGGGATTATAGGGTTTCAACTAGAAATCTGCAGTACGCATTCCTAAGAAAAGATTCAGGGACGATTATTCTCCTTAAAATTTATTTTTCTTATTTTATTAAAAGTTTAATGTATTTTTAAAAGATAATTGATCTGGCCGTAAATTATTTGTTACAAAGGAGCAAAATTATATTTCATTATTTTCCAACATTGGAAAGCCCTCCACCCAATATATTTAGTTTACCCCCTGGGTCGATTTTTCTGTTACTATTTAAAGGAATATAACAATAAATTTCCATGAATTTAATTCTGGTACTGTATTTATTAGCCTTTATCAGTATATAGATACATGGAATTTTTTTTATGCACGTCCGTTGAGCATTTGGGAGCAAACATTTAAAAAAAATTTTATTAAATTAATGAAAAGGTTTATTTCTTTTGATTAGAATTCGACTGGTCTGACTAATTTAAAATCAAAAGTTGATTTTTTAGTTTTAGTTTTAATTATTTAATACTTTTAAAACTTAAACCGATAATAATCATGATGATGGATCATACTTATTTGTATACAAAATTGTTCGAAATTCAGAGGCCAATTTGGCCCAGCTGGTGTTCTAGCACTTGCTGACATATAAACATACACAATATATAATATATATATATATGATCTAAGGGCTTTATTTTATAGATTAGAACTACGATTTTTTTGACGTTTTAATTTTGGCGAAGTAGTTAAAAACTTCTATTCAATATTTTTTTTTTCATAGTGAGAAGCATGATACGTTAGCGCTCTCTAGAAGTGACTCCAGTGTTGAAGTATGGAGTGTTTCATATACTCCATATCTACAGAAAACTATACATGGTACTCCAGAGGTTAGTAGAGGGGTGGGGTATTGTTTCATATACTCCATATCTGCATAAGCTATACCTGGTACTCCAGAGCTTAGTAGAAGGAGGGGGAGTGTTTCACATACTCCATTTCTACAGAAAACTGTACCTGGAACTCTAGAGGTTAATAGGAGAGGGNACCGAAAAATTAAGATTAAAACGGTATCAAGCGATGAAAAGTGCAAAACTAAAAATTTCGCGGATTTTTAAAATGGATTTTAAAAAATGTATTTTAACCGACATCTTTTCTAGGAAAAATTCATAATTTCTACGGGCCATAAATTTTGTCCGGGTTATGTGGCCCTAATCGGTTCAGCCGTTTTGACGTTTATTGGATACAAACAAACAGACACCCTACACACATATAATCATATATAAGTATTGGTTGTGAGTAAATAATGAAAAAGTAGGTTTTGGAAGAAATGATTCAGGTTTCATAATCTTTATATTAAGAACATATGATTCAGGGAAGTGTTGAGAGTTTATGTTGGGTTGATAACCGGTTATTCTCCTGTGGACTTCATGGATTCCTACTAGAATATGATCTAAACAAACTTAAAGTCAAGGTTGGTACCCCCCCCCCCCATTCCTGTATTCTCCTGTGGAAAATTATCTTAACCAAGTCAAGGTTTTAACTCCCCCCTGCCTCCCCTTAATTGGTTCTCATAGAGTGGAATATAGTGTCCAATTTACAACTGTACCTTTTAAACTATTATCTGAAGATATCGTCGTTTTTCTATCCACAAGTTTTAAATTCTGACTTGTTTATTGAAATTACGTTTACACTCTGCACTCTACACACTACACACTACACTCTACACTCTACACTCTACACTCTGCACTCTACACACTACACACTACACTCTACACTCTACACTCTACACTCTACACTCTACACTCTACACTCTACACTCTACACTCTACACTCTACACTCTACGCACTACGCACTACGCACTACGCACTACGCACTACGCACTACGCACTACACACTACACACTACACTCTACACTCTACACTCGACACTCTACACTCTACACTCTACACTCTACACTCTACACTCTACACTCTACACTCTACACTACAGTTCCTTTAAAGAATGAATTTCAGCATTTTATAATCAAGGTTATTTTATTTGTCAGTGTCCATTATTTGTTTTTAAAGTAATATTTCTTTTAACTCTTTAGGCCGAGCACACTGTAACGTCAGGTCCAGCCTGGTGTCTTAAATCTAACATGAAATGTCGAAAGGTAACAAAATCATATTTATTTTTCTATTCGATTGTTATGAATAAAAGTAATAACTTCAAAAATAACGTATTGTATTATTAACAACGATTTTCGACGCTTTTGAGGGGAAGTTTATAAAGTTTTTAACCTATTTTTTTACTTTGTCCTCCCAACACTTGGATTAAAGAATTTAAAGAAGGCAGTTAGGAATTAATAATTGCTCAGAGATGCATATTTTCCCAGCCCCCCTCCCCCTCTTCTGAAAATATTTTTTCCCTCAGAAGTGAGGTATGGTTCTATTTTTAGGGGTTTTATTGCGGAATTGGGGAAAATAAATGCTTTTTAGGAGAAAATTATAAAATGATTGGATAGAAAATGAATATAAGGATAAAAAATTGCGTTTTAATGTTCCATTTTTTAATTTTTCCTCTGGATCTCTAAAAATCATCCCCCCTCCCACCACCCTCCGGGGAGAATTTTAAAAATATACACCCCTGTAATTGTTTAAACGAAAATGAATGAAAATGGATTTTGTTTTCAGATTGCTGTGGGTACAGAAGAAGGTTTTGTTTGTTTATTTAGTGTACTGTCCGATACGCTTCAATATGATAGGTAAACAAACATAGTTACAAACTTACACAATGAATTTTGAGCATTAATGCACGAAGATTAGAACACTAACTCACGGAGCTTGTCTGTTGCTTTGTCTTGTCTGCCTGTATATAATAAATGTCAGAACTGACGAACCTCTATCGCTTGATGCCTATAGTCCGTCAAAAACAAAAATTTTCTTTTTGTTGCTAAAAATCTAAAAAGAAAAAAAATCCGCCATGAATTTTTTTTTTAAATGTATGAAGACTGCAGAGAGATAAGCTACCAAGATCTAATAATATTGTCATAAATAAGGTCGCAAAGCGCCTTTAAAGCCTTGGATCTAATTAGTATTTATACATATAGGATACTGGATAAACAGGAAGGACGTATCCTGTGTCTCTCCTGGAACCCGGAAGGAACCCACCTTGTAACCGGAAGTATTGATACTATCAGAGTATGGGACGCAAACACAGGTCAACAGATAGTTGTAATGAGTTCAGAGCTGGGAACTCTTGTAGTGTTGTAGATATCGAGATCAACGTTTAATCTCGATCTTTTGTAAATCTGCAGATTAAATAAATCTTTTTTCCGATATCCCGTTGTGTTATCATACCCTGAAGGGATAATTGAAATGAAGAGCTTAAGTATAACTCTCAAATTAAAAGTGTCTCGGAATTAAGCGATCTGAGCCGAAAACTTTAGAATGGTGGATATCGAGATTAATGCTTGATCTCCTCTTTTTCTTAATCTCCAGATTAAATAATGCTTGTTCTCTTCTTGTTATTAATCTCCAGACTAATTAACCGATCGGGATTAAGGATATCTCATTCTATAGTTTTCAGCTCTGGATTATGAGTATCTAACACGAAAGTTCCAAGCTCAGATCTGATATGGATAATTGGCGTAAACAAGTCTCCCGACTAAGCTTCCTTAAGATGAAAACAAGGCATAAAGAGACTGTTAGCGAAATTTCGATTGAGAACAGCGGTTTTTGTAACATTCTATTAAAATTATAAAAAATATTCTTTTTTGTGAAAATTCCATCAAATCATCTCTTGGACACTTGTCTTATTTTTGGTTGCATTAGGATACATGCTGAAATATGAAAATTTTGTTATTTTCTACATTTCACATTCTCCTTTTCACATTCTCTACATGCACCCAGCCAGTAGAAACATGCACCTGGCTATAAGAAACATGCATACGGCTATAAGAAACATGCACCCGGCTGTAGGAAACTTGCATATGGGTATTCTTACATGGGTATGCACCTGACTATAAGAAACATGAACCCGGCAATAAGAAACTTACACCCGGCTATAAGAAACATGCAACCGGCTATAAGAAACATGCACCCAGCCAGTAGAAACATGCAACCGGCTATAAGAAACATGCAACCGGCTATAAGAAACATGCACCCAGCCAGTAGAAACATGCAACCGGCTATAAGAAACATGCACCCGGCTATAAGAAACATGCAACCGGCTATAAGAAACATGCACCCAGCCAGTAGAAACATGCAACCGGCTATAAGAAACATGCAACCGGCTATAAGAAACATGCACCCAGCCAGTAGAAACATGCAACCGGCTATAAGAAATATGCACCCGGCTTTAAGAAACATCCACTCGGCTTTAAGAAAAGAATAGAAAAACGATTGATGAATGTTCAGAATAAATTACTGTTTAGGGCATCCAACTGCTAGAATGACGACGGGACGAGTGGAACGCAATAAAGAGACGATTGTCTGGGCCGTTGTCGTCACAAGCGATATGACCGTTATTTCAGGTTAGTTTTGGACGATTAATTTTTTTTGTCCATCAGATTTCAAAGTAAAGTAATATTTCCAATACATTTAAGATGAGACGCAAAGTGACCACTGCTGACTCTATATGTTAAAATAATTTTAAAGGATTTATAAAAGTTACTAAATTCCTGACCTTCGCAAAAGTAGTTTTTTTCTTAAACCAAAATTTGAAAAACACAATCTAAAAAGAGGCGACGATTTTATTTGTTAAGTTAGAAGCAACCCAGCAGAACAGCATCCAATATTAAGTCACAAAATGTGAACATACAAAGACTTAATATTAAGAAGTTGAAACTGGTGTTCTGGAATAATAAGTTTTTGAAGTTTACTCTGGATAAGCACTAGCTGTAAAACCATGACTCTTGCAAGATTCATTTAGAGTGTTAGATGTGGTCAGTAAAATTCTGATTTGATTTGATTGTAAAAGCCGCCGGAAATATATAATATCTTTTCATAATTTCCCATCGAATTAGGACACCCTTTAAAAAAGTTAAAGAACCTGTCAAATCTTTCGTTGGGATGTTTAGAAAGATGAAAATTTCCCTGTATGATAATTGAAGGACTGCAGTATGGTTTTGGTGAATTATATTGGCGTACTAAGCCTAGGGGTGTCAGAAATTATTTTTTTTGCATATTTTTGAAAACGTCCAATAAACCTAAAAAAGTTTAATTTTGATAAAAACTTTTTGTTCTGGATGATTACAAATATCTATCTAAAACTTTCTTAAAAAAGAGGTTCCGTTGATGGTTTAAAAATAAACAGCTGAAGATTTATTGGAGGGAGGAATGGCAAAACACCAATTTGTAATTCCCAAATCTGTTTATGGAAAGTGATGGAAACAGGGTATACAGAGTGCTTCAGGGTACAGGGTACTACAATGTACTGCAAAGTACTGTGCTTTACTGGGGTATACTTTGGTGAGGGGGTACATAAACCACACAGAATTTTTTATTTTTAATAAAAAATATAGGTAGAGCCAGAAGCACTTCTAAGGATGTTTTCTTTATAGTACCCCAAAGTACCCCTCAGTACCCAACAGTACTCAACAGTACTCAACAGTACTCAACAGTACCCTGCAGATATGGGGATTACAAATTGGCGTTGTTGCCATCCTTCCCTCCATTAAGTGATCTGCTAATTAGTATTAAACTAGCTTTTTTGTCCGTGAAAATAGTACAAAACTATAAAGAAAACATCCTTAGAAGTGCTTCTGACTACTTATATTTTTTTTATTAAAAATAAAAAATTCTGTTTGGTTTCTGTACCCCCTCCCCCCAGTAAAGCCCAGTACTTTGCAGTACATTGTAGTACCCTGTACCCTAAAGCACTCTGTATTCCCTGTTACAATCACTTTCCATTAAAAGATTTTCGAATTACAAATTGGTGTTTTTGCCATTCCTCCCTCCAATTAATCATCAGCTGTTTAGTTTTAAACCATCAACGTAATGTCTTTTATACTGTTTTACACAAATGAAAATAATGCAAAACTAGAGTAAAGTGCATCCCAGAAAAGCTTCTTTAAGTTCTAAATATTTTTGTTCAAAATAAAAATTCTGTTTGGTTTGGCAACTTTTTTTTGCAGAATCTTTCCTACTTTCTGAAAGGTTTTACATCGGTATGTTTAAGGATATCTACTCGATATAAAGCAATATTTATTAATACTTATTTTGACTCAAACTCTTAACTAAATGAATATAGAAAAAATATGCCGGTTTAAAAAAGTTTTAGATAGATATTTGCAATCATCCAGAACAAAAAATTAAACTTTAAAAATTTTATAGAAGTTTTTAAAAAAAATGCAAAAAAAAACATTTCTGACACCCCTAGGCTTAGTACGCCAATATAATTCACCAAAACTATACTGCAGTCCTTCAATTATCATACAGGGAAATTTTCATCTTTCTAAACATCCCAACGAAAGATTTGACAGGTTCTTTCACAAATTTAATTTTGAGCTCTGTCATTTATTTTTGGTTCAGGGGATAGCAGAGGCAGAACTTCATTCTGGAACGGAAGAAATGGAACTTTAATCGACAGTATTCAAAGTCATAAGGTGATTTATTTTCTATTGGAAAATTAAACAAAAGCTTTACTTTCTCAATATTTCTGCTTTTTGTTGTTATTATTACTAAAAATAAACATATGGTTAAATATAATTTTAAAATTTTTCGTTGTTTGTGGGTTAATACAATTTACTTTAAGTAAGAAAAAATTATTTCTTAAATCTATTATATTATAAAAACTTTATACTCTTATAATGTTCCGTCTTTCGGTCTTAATTTCTACGAAATAATGTTTGATTATTCAGTTATTTAAAAAAAAAATTATATATTTATTTTTATTTATTTCTTTTATTCTTTTTATTATTATTAGGCTGATGTGTTGACAATAGAATTGAACCCTGCTGGTAATGTTGCATATTCATCTGGAGTAGATCCTACCATTATGCATTTTCAAACAATAAGGTAGTTTCAGGGGTGTATATTTTTAAGAATATCCCCCCCCCCCCGAGGAAATGAATTTTTAGAATATATGGATACTTTTCCATATGGATATTGGGTATAATATATTGAAGTTATTTTCCTCAAAGGAAGTATTTTCGAAAGTAGGATAGAACTAAAGTTTTGTTTTCTTAGTAAATATTTTGGGACTTTTTTAGGGTTGGAAGACTGGTTGATTACTTGAGTGGTTGATTGATTGACTGATTTATTGATTGACTGATTTATTGATTGACTGATTTATTGATTTATTGATTGATCGATGTTTAGTAAACCTGATGGACGACGTGTGTGGGTGAAGTCCCTTCACCGTGTTGTCAACAGTCATGATGTCCGGGCTCTTGTATCACAGAAGGTAGTAGTTCATGTCAAAGGAGAGAATGAAGGCCAATTATTACGCCACAAAATGGTTTTTCGGCATCACGCTCACTTATAAGGCTTTCGATCCGGACATTGGTTTTCTTGCTATTTCGATTTTTAAGTTTGAAATAAAAATTTATTAAATTGTATTAACCATTTGGAAAATCTTTGTTTTTCGGAAGAAAACATTCTTGTATTCTACCTGCCACTAAAACAAGCACGATAAAGGCAGATTTTTACTTGGTTAAATAGGAATATTACGATTAACAGTGATTACCAATAAATGCAGCGGAATTCTGGTTGTCGTCGCTTTTCTTTTATTTACGAAAGTTCGCGAAATTTTTTTTCAATTGTCAACTGAACTACTTTTAAAACTGAACTTCGCCATTATTGAAAATTATAAAATCTTTATTTAATAATTAAGGCGACATTATTCAAAATAATAAGATGTCAATTATTCTAAATTATAAAGACGACATTCATTCCAAACAATAAGACGACATTTATTCCACAGTGTTTGGTTCTAACTGTCATGTCTGCCTTCAATCGTTTATCATTGGATGGTTTTAAATACTGGGGAACAATTTTTAATAAATTATACTTGCCGCAGTACCCGGCGTTTTCAGGCATATATTATTATTGATACTTAAAGTTACACCCGCCTGTTACCCGCGTTTGGTAATAAATCATGAATTTAGCTGAAGTGTCCAGTGTTGCCCATGGATTTTCAAAGATAATCTTAAAAAAATTCCGCCAATTTTGTCTAGTCATTTTATCAGGGGTGTATATAATTCCATTTCCCCCCCCCCCTGGGGGGGGAAAGAAATCGAAGGTCACAAAAGAGGGGAAGGGGAAGGGAAGGGAAGGGAAAGGGGAAGGAAAGGGGAAGGGAAGGAGAAGGGAAGGAGAAGGGAAGGAGAAGGGAAGGAGAAGGGAAAGAGAAGGGAAAGAGAAGGGAAGGAGAAGGGAAGGAGAAGGGAAGGAGAAGGGAAGGAGAAGGGAAGGAGAAGGGAAGGAGAAGGGAAGGAGAAGGGAAGGAGGAGGGAAGGAGGAGGGAAGGAGAAGGTAAGGAGAAGGGGAGGAGAAGGGAAGGCGAAGGGGAGGGGAAGGGATGTGGAGGGAAATGGGATGGGAAGGGAATGGGAAGTGAAAGTGGAGAGGATGGGGAGTAAGGGGAATGGAAAAAGAGGTAATGTATTGTCACAATTGTTGTTAAGAGAATAATTGTGTATGTTTCAATTTGTGGAGTTGAAAACATGTTACAACATTATGTTGACCTGTGTTGTGTTGAGTCATCACTACAGTGTGTAATTATCTTATATAATCAAAGCAAACTACAAGCTTTTTTCTAGGAACCAAATTTTTGTGTGTTGAAAAACTTAAGGAACAGTTGAGCCAAGCCAACTGAAAGAAAAATTCTCGTGATCTGATCAAGAAATGATGTCTGGAATTGGGATACCATCAAAACATGTCAACAATCTAAAAAATGGAAATTACAGAACTCATTTGAAAGAGACAGTAAAAAGATCTGCAGCTGTGCGCCTGAACCTGGAAATGATGTCTGTCTTTCCTGACATCCACAAACATTTAGGATGAGGAAGATGATGATAATGATAGGGATAATAAAGTCAAAAACAACCATCTAACATCTCAGGATATTTCTGAGCAAGAGGTTTCAGTTATGTCTTTGACTGATAATTCTATAGAAAAAGTTGAAAAGCAACTTAGTGAGGTATGTGAGGACATCTTTACATCCTTGGAAAAACGATTTAAACCTACTTAACTTGTAAAGGCTTCTGTAGAGGCTTTTCATAGAACAGAGTGGGCTGAAAACATCAGTAAAGACATGCTAGAAACAAGTGACAGAGTACATCTAGAGGAGCTGGTTGAAAATCTTATAGAAGACAAACTTCAGGAGAAGTTTGAAGTTCAGGATAGCCTTCTGCAGACATACATTCAATTCCTGACATTTAATCAAAATTCTGATCAGCAGTCCTTGGAAGTGTTATATCAACTGTTCCAAAAGAATTTTAGGCAGAGTTTGTCAGCAGAGTCTAGATTCTTTGACCTGTTTGAACATGTTAATATCAAATCATATACTAAAGCCTACTGTGAAAGTGTGGGATCCCTCATGAATATACTAGTTAATAAAGGAAGAAACCTCACATCAAGCTTTTTCTCAAGAGAGCTTATCATAGCTTTTAATGCTCCTCCTCTTCATATCTTAAAGAAAAAAATCATCACTGAAATCAGGGATGAGTTTATGAAGGAGATGACCTTTGTAAGAAAGTTGGACAATGCCAGACTTTCCAGACAGTACTCCAAACTAAAGTTTGCAGATCTGTCTGCAACTCTTGGACAGCTACGGAAGAACCAAGAAAATCAGTCTCATGTCCCTGTAGACTTTTTTACTGTTTAATTAAGTAAAAATGAGTAATTTTTTTAGATGATACTATAATAAATCTAAGAAGAGTTTAATCTATGTCTTTTGACATTGACATTTAGAGGGGGAGGGGGAAAGAATAAAAAATATGGAATTATATACACCCCTGGTTTCAAGATCTGGTTCTGTTGCAGGGTCTAGTTCAGGCTTAAAACCCTCAAGTTGAGGAATTGGATATGAAACTGAATATTGGGATTATGTTTGTCTCTTCTTTAGGGGTTACTACAGAGGTCACCTTTCCATTTGGAGCAATCACAGAGACTGTCTTCAAGGTTCTAACAGACCTTTCCTTGGACTAGGGTCTTCAGACTGGGGGGGTTATAGCAGACCTCTCCCTGGACTTGGGGGGTTATAGCAGACCTTTCCTCAGACTGGGGGGTTATAGAAGACCTCTCAGCATACTGGGGGTGATAGCAGACCTCTCCTTGGACTGAGGGGTGATGTATGTTTATTTCATACCTTTTATTAAATTTGACACTACAAATAATTCCTGAGATTTTAATTTACAAATATAAAAGTTTTTTGAAGCCTTAAAGAGCGAAAACCCCAAAGTGTTTGGTTTTTACTAAACTCAAGGCCATCCAAAACCTGGGTCTTGACTTGAGCTTTACTTTGGTCTAAGCAGAAGCAAAGACCAGGTTTTACTTGGGTTTAAGCTTTTGAAATCTCATCTCTGCTTCTATACACTCCTCGTACAGTCCCAGAAGCTTATGAGTAATCCTTATGTTTACAGATTAGATGGCAACAACTGAAGGGACCAGCTAGGTAACAGATAGGATGAAGAGAGAGAGAAAGCTAGTTCCTCCTACCTTAGATGCCGGAATTGAACTGAAATGCCGGTATTGAACTGAAATATATCAAAAGATCAAAACTATTTAGAGTGTGAGAGTATGGACTTCTTCCAGAGGAATCCAAATCCAAATCACCTGAAGGTGGACTTGGGGTTCCTTGTCACCATGTCAGGATCCACTCAGATCTGTCTTTATTTTCTTATTTGGCAAAAATTAGTATGATCCGAATCAAGATTTTATCTGAATTGATCTGAATCAGGATTTCATCTGAACCAATCTGAATCAGGATCTTATTTGAACCGATCTGAATCAGGATTTTGTTCAGATCATTTAAAAGATTGTATATGGATTGATCCAGGCTCCGGTTTTATCAAGATTCCAGATGGATTTAATCAGAATTTCATTTGGAGGGATCTAAATCCAGATACTGAGCACAATTATGAAATGATGAACCTTACTGAAAGATTGTCTAGAAGTTTTCCAAGGTATATATTAAGGATATAGTATTAATATGAACCTGAATAGAAGAATGAGAGATTGTCTAATAGTATCCAGGTTTGGAGCATAGATATTAAAGATAGTATTAATATGAACCTGAAGTTAAAGAATGAAAAATTGTCTTGTAATATAAAGGGTAGAAGGATGGATATTAAGGATAGTATTAATATGAACCTGAAGTAAAGAATGAAAGATTGTCTAGTTGTATCCAGGGTATGACGATTAATATTAAGGATAGTATAATATAAACCTGAAGTAAAGAATGAAAGATTGTCTAGTAGTATCCAGGGTAGAAGGATTGATATTAAGGATAGTATTAATATGAATCTGAAGTAAAGAATGAAAGATTGGCAAGTAGTGTCCAAGGTAGAAGGATGGATAGGTATATTCAGGATAGTATTAATATGAACTTGAAGTAAAGAATGAAAGATTGTCTAGTAGTATACAGGGTAGAAGGATGGATATTAAGGATAGTATTAATTTGAACCTGAAGTAAAGAATGAAAGATTGTCTAGTAGTATCCAGGGTAGGAGGATTCCAGAGGAATCCAAATCCAAATCACNAATATAAACCTGAAGTAAAGAATGAAAGATTGTCTAGTAGTATCCAGGGTAGGAGAACGGGTAGGGAAACATCCAGCAATCCTGACAAACTCCTCATCTAGACAAATGACAGGGGTAAAAAATGAAAACATATTTTTACAACTAGACTGCCCCTTTCTTTGTAAGTTTTTAGTGCTTTAAAGTTTAAAAAAAAAGACAAAAATCACAAATACAAAAGTTGGTTTTCCATGCTGACATTTTTGGTTAAAACATAAAAAATTTACAATAGGATGAAAGTTTAAGTATGAATGAATGAATAAACCTGATAAAGCCTATATTGAGAGGTTATCACTATTACTCCTAACATTAGGAGGAACTGGGCGAGTACTGCCGGACACTAGAAAAAAAAAGATTTTTAACTATAGTATTAACATAAAGAAGTATAATTATTAAACAATTCCCTTTAACTTACCTAGAGTAACGTATTACTATAAAAATCCCGTTAAACTGATCTAGTTTTGTAAACATGCTTTTAAAAGCTGTCCTAGAGAGATGTAAACAATATCTTTAAACTGTCCTAGAGATGTAAACAATATTTTTAAACTGTCCTAGAGAGATGTTAACAATATTTTAAAACTGTCCTAAAGAGATGTAATTACGCTTTTTAAACTGTCCTAGAGAGATGTTAACACATTTTTAACCTGTCCTAGAGAGATGTCATACAATATCTTTAACCTGTCCTAGAGAGATGTAAACAATATCTTTAACCTGTCCTAGAGAGATGTCATACAATATCTTTAAACTGTCCTAGAGAGATGTAAACAATATCTTTAACCTGTCCTAGAGAGAAGTAAACAATACCTTTTAACTAACCTAGAGAAAAATCTATAACTGACTTTAAGCATGTAACTTTAGCAATCCCTTTACCTGCCCGTCTCCGGATATGAGCATGCTAAGGAATACGAAGAACACAGATATTGAGATAAAGGGAGCAGACAGGCAGGATCCCAGTCCATAACCTAAATATTTTAAAATTAAAATAAAAACTAGAATCTATAAAACATAAAGATAGTCCCCAAATCAATTTTTTAACAAACATGGGATTGAACAAAATCTTTTTGCCAATGTTATTGATGGTGTCGTTCAGAAAAAAAACCCCGAGAGATGGAACAACGACTTGGATCGTTCAGAGCTCGATTTAAAATCGTTTGAACAATATTGATTGTTCAGAGATCGATTTAAATAGTTAGAACGTTCGTTTTTTTTAACACATGACTTTTTCAAAAGATTTTTAAAAAAATTATATTTTTTACTGAACGAACGTTTAAAAAAAAACTTTTTAGAAAAACGATTTTTTTCACTGAATTAACGATTTGTTTTTACTGAATTAACGATTTTTTTTTACTGAATTAACGATTTTATTAAACAAAATAATTTTTTTTGAATGATTGAAAAAACAACTGAAATGTCTACCCCCATCCCCTTCTGGTCTCTTCATTATCACATCTGGTACTTAAATGCGCGCAGCTTTATATATTGAATGATGGGATGTGACAACCCTGTTTTGAGACTAGATTAAGCTTTATATATTGAATGATGGGATGTGACAACCCTGTTTTGAGACTAAATAAAGGATGATTCCTTTCTTCAAATGGGAGGAAATGAATACTAAATAGCTAAATTAAACAACATGGACTATAAAAAGATTGCCATATCTATCTTTGTTTGACCTACCTAGAGGTATTGATGGGGTGGATTTATCACTCAACAACATGAACTATAAATAGATTGCCATATCTATCTTTGTTTGACCTACCTAGAGGTATTGATGGGGTGGATTTATCACTCAACGTTGTCCTCCAATTTGCCTAAACACAAACCAATTTAAATTCTCAACTAATATAGTTTTTGCTGAATCAAATATTCATGACATTCATTTATGTGTCTAAAGAGACTGTACGTGTAATTTCCAGAGTCTGATTCACAACAGTAGCCTTGAAACCTTTATGTGATCAATAATGTTCTGCATCTTATCCACATTAATCTTCATCACGGATAGTCCTGGACTCCTGGGATTCACAACAGTAGCCTTGAAACCTTTATCTGATCAATAATGTTCTGCATCTTAACCACATTATTCCAATTACTACTTGATCAGACAAAGCTTTTCATAAGGGTACCGTTGTGAATCAGGCATTGCCATCTTTGTATTGAAATTATGCTTACAGTCCCTTTAAATAGAAAGATATATTACCTTCATGTAGTTAAAGTAGCAAGGTATGTTTTCTTGACGATAAATTCTACTCGAGTTCTTCTTCTTGGTTTGAAAGTATACAAGGCGTGGATTTAACACTAAAGAGAAACAAATGTAAACATCAAATCAATATATATATATATATATATGTAACAGCTATAGCTGGCCAAACGTCTGGAATTTTTTGAGGCAACCCATTGGCAACATAGGCTAAAGAAATTCTATTTTTTTCAAAATCCGATTTTTTTCTTCAAAATTATTTTTTTTTCAAATGTTATTTAAATTTCACAGACAACACAAGGGTACTTCAGCTAGTGATAAATAAATGAAATCAAAAGTGAATTAATAAAAAGTTTTAAAGGTAAAAATGGATTTTTTGTTTACCTAGAATAAAAATGCCAGCAAGAACAAGAAGTAGAACCGTGTGAACAATCAGATTATGCTGCCAGGGAAGCAGTTTAGAGATCAATGGGGACGGAAATGACTGAAATGAACGCGGCATTAGTAAATTCACCACGTGGCTTGATCCGCCATTTTGATTTTTGATATAAATAATTCACATTCCACATGCAGGGATGGGCACTAGGCAATAGCCAAATTTGTTTTTAGAAACTTTTAATTTAGACTTTTAAAAGGTTTTACGACAATATGAGAAGTTTCCAATATTTTAAAACTTAGAAGAAACATGAAAATTTGTTACCCTGGGAAAAAATGTAAGGCAAAAACGATTGTTTTTGGTTTTGAACACGATGGTTTTAGGTTCTTTTTTGCCTTTTATTTTCCTAGGATAACAAATTTGTATGTTTGATAAAAGCACACTTCTACAGAATACAATTTTAAATCGTTGGACCCTTCTCAGATTGTCGTAAAACCTTTTAAAAGTCTAAAAATATTAAGGTTTCTTTAAACCTTTTTATTGCCGCATCGCTATTTCTATTTTAAAAATTATAACTGCCCCTTCTTATAGGAGAAAAACAATTAAGGTCACTTACATCAAATTGTTTCAATAAGACAATTTAGGATGTAGCTGATAATTTTAAAGAATCATTCTAAAGTCTTGATATTACGCTAATATGAACATTTGCATTTGGGCATGAAGTCTAAGTAATGTCACGAGAAGGGGATCATTCATTTGGCGTACAGTGCCGTTTTGCCTCATATAGTCTGTGATCTGCATTTGTACTGTGTCCTAGGAGCGGGGGAAGGCAGGCGGCCATGAGCCACCACTATTTCCCCTTCCGGGCCACATATTAGCTTTTTTCTCTTCCGGCAGCCATGAGCCACCACTATTTCCCCTTCCGGGCCACCACATTTGACTCTTCCGGGCAAAACTACGTTTTTAAATGGTATATTTAGGGCCTTTAAAGTGTGATTTTTAAAAATCCAGCCGCGTCACGCTATAAATATATATTTAGATCTTTATATTTCAGTGTTAATATGTAATAAGGATGATTCCTCTTAATGTAAACTGTAAAACTTTTTTTTTCCCAAACTAAATTCTGATTTGCCTAAAAAATG